AAAAGCTATTAAAATTACTCACTAATAATACAACTGAGGAAAATTCAGAAATAGTAAAATACACCCATAATATTCCATATGCTATATTTATAAATTCCAATTGGCCATTTTAATATAGGGCCATTTTAATATAGGGCCATTTTAATATAGGGCCATTTTAATATAGGCGGGTATTAAAATAGGCCAAGTGACCAATACCAAAAGCATAACAATTAATAAAACACAATATATTACAGCATTAAAACTTTACTATCGTAACTATATATTATTAAACATTTTATATTTACCAGTGTGCGTAAAAATTTACAATTATACTTGAGCAAAATGTTTTAATAATAGACAACTTTATAACAAGAAAATGTTAAAATGAAGAAACTTTTCAATGGCTTCATAATTGACGTTTCTTCGATATTGTTGCTTACTTCTACTTTATAATTGTCCATTTTGTTATTTTCTTTCTTTCTGTTTGCAAATTATCTCCATTAATCCATAGAAAACAAGCAGTATACGTTTGTATTTCTTCGTATTTCGAACGCGCACTCCTTGAAGGCAGCCATATTGCCGAATATAAACATCCACTTGATGAATAAACTTTTCATATTTCACTCTATTTCCAACGACCAATCAAATCACTTCTGCCTCGGCTTGTCCCAGGGCTTACGGCAACCTCGTCCCCAGGGTCTTCCTCGTGGTGGCGCGTGAGCTGAGGAAGACCCTGGTAAAATACGATGAAATCTCCAAGATTCTTGGAGATTTATCGCATGCGCAGTAACGACAACGTTATGTTGCTGACTACAATTAGCGCTGGCGCTTACGATTTTCTTGTTTAAAAATATACATGTTTTGTTGATTGTTTATGTATTTATTCTCAAAGTTTTAACAAATTTTCCGAAAAATACTTCAGATATAAGCTGTGAACACACATGTACACAAAACTATGCAACATTCATCATCATATTGTATCAATTTGTCGGAGTATGGCGCTCATATTTGTGACATTGTTTTGTTCGCTTTGGCAACCCTCGTATATATCAGATGCTATTCGGCTTCAAATTATAATGCGACTGAATATAAAACACTGATAGTGTTGCCTGGAATATGAAATGATATTGATTGATTGTACTGTATATCAAGGTATGTATACTGTATATTTATACTGAATTTATTCGATTTATTTTCACACGTTGCTTTCACATTTTCTCAGAGTCTCGGAAATCACATTTTCTAACACAGTTTCACACCTACAGAAAGACTTCATTTCACACATGCAGAAAGACTTCTTCAGAAATCTCACAGTTTTTAACATACTGAAAGACTTCATATTATCTCATCAGTTAATAAAATTATGATAACAGTAGAAATGCTTAGAAAGATTTTATTCTGTTTTCCATATACAATACAACTGTTATTTCGATTTTCTCTTCCCTATATTTTCTTTAAAGCAGGTACTGTTCTGTTACAAAACAACTAATAAACATTTTATTATTTTAACAGGTGAACCATATTTACATGAACTTGGGAAAAAGCCAACTTGAATTCCATGGAAATATATATAATCATGTCATCAATCAGATAGTAAACAATCATTAAGATGGCCTCAAGATTATATTTCACAGTGACCAACATGAAAATTTTTAAATGGGAATTAGTTGATGGCATTATGGTTTACTAATGCTATATGATTTTGTTCATCAAGGTGAAGAAACTCAATATAGCTACCTGTCCCTGTTACAGAGCTATATGATAGTAATCTTAGAAGATTTTCATGATCCCTCTATTGGCAGTAGTTATTTAACCAGTCTAGTATTATTTGTTTATTTGTTTATTTAGCTTTGCCAACTAGGGCAGGGTCACCACAACAGCATATGCCAATTACTGTGGGCCCTTTTTACCTAACCCACCCTTGTCAACTTTCCCTGTGGGAGGAAACCAGAGTACCCGGGGAAAACCCACGGCGTTCGGCAGATCGTTGACTTTTACTCTTTTCACATGGGGACTGGGTTCGAGTCGCACTGAGAAGGTACTTAGTGAGACTCGAACCTGCAGCCTCAGAGGTGAAAGGCAAGTGCGCTAACCACTTGGCCACCGTTATGTTAAATAGCCTTGTTTGACTTTTGTATTTTGTTTCTTTAATAATACATTTACAATGGTCAAAATTACAGTTTAATATTTGTATTTCTAATGATAATTACTTCCACATATCCATCACACTTCTCTGTTACTATTAAACTTATTACTATCATGCAAGTAAAATCTCTTGGAAAAAATAAATGTTGTCCCAGGATGGTCATAAATATCAGCTAGTAAAACTAATGAATATACCTATAATCATGCATGTACATATGACTATCATATAATATGTTGTAATTCCTTTAAGTGTTTCAAATTAAATAAATTTTTATTTTCAGTTGTTCATTGTTCAAACTTATTTGAAACCTACAGTATATGTAGTTGCTATGATTAAAATATCCAAAAGTGTGCCTTTTACTTCAGTCCTTATTGACTCCTCCCTAATACAGACGCTTTATTGTGCCACTCCAATGTTCATTCAAAGTGATCCAACTGACATCTGAGCTGGTGATAATATACAGCAAAGTATTGGAACTAGGAGTATATCAGATAAGTTGTTCATTAAGTCAAGACCTTGAGGTTGTGCTGATCATCATATCAAACTCCATTACATATTGTGCCTTAAAAACATATATACAAATTTTAAAAGTTGTTGCAGCACACTGGGCCATTCCATCTAATATAGCCCCCCCCCACACACCCTATTGAGGGGTCTCTTCATACCTTAAAAATTTTGGAACCCCATTGGATGCAATTTTGGAACCCCCATTGACATCTTTCTACCCCTTCAGGATATTGTTCCTGCCCCTTTGGATATCACTAAAACACCTAATTTTTAGGAAATCTCTTAAGCTATACCCTCTAGAAAAATTTAAGGTAAAAACCCCCTCTCCCCCATAGGATATCCAGACCTCAGTTGGGGGCTATTAAATGGAATGGCCCATTTGACTTGGTGAGTGGTGACTACCACCAAAGCAAAATAGAAGCATGCTGTCCTGCTTTACATAGAAAACAGAATAAATTTTGAAGCATTTCTACTGTTACTTGTAACGATAATCAGAATTGATGAGAAAATATGGAGTCTTTCTGTATGTTTATAGTGATCTGATCTCACTGTTCATTATAAGGCTGAAGTAGTTTGAAACTCGTGTGCAAATAAATCCAGTATATATGTACAGTACGTACCTTGATATACAGTACAATCAATCAATATCATTTTATATTCCAGGCAACACTATCAGTGTTTATTCAGTGATATATACGAGGGTTGCCAAAGCGAACAAAACAATGTCACAAATATGAGCGCCATACTCCGACAAATTGATACAATATGATGATGAATGTTGCATAGTTTTGTGTACATGTGTGTTCACAGCTTATATCTGAAGTATTTTTCGTAAAATTTGTTAAAACTTTGAGAATAAATACATAAACAATCAACAAAACATGTATATTTTTAAACAAGAAAATCGTAAGCGCCAGCGCTAATTGTAGTCAGCAACATAACGTTGTCGTTACTGCGCATGCGATAAATCTCCAAGAATCTTGGAGATTTCATCGTATTTTACCAGGGTCTTCCTCAGCTCACGCGCCACCACGAGGAAGACCCTGGGGACGAGGTTGGGCTTACGGCAACGCAGGCAGCCGAGAAGCCCTGGGAACGAGGATGATCTTAATTTAATCGTTAAATTATGTCGATTAGCTCTGTCAGTCAATAATTGATGTATAATAGTTTAAAATATATTATCACCTTCTTTACTGTAAATATATATACATAAATTATATAGTATCTTCCACTTTGAATATATATAACTGACTAAATATATAAGAATGAAATGATGTTATATTGTAAGTATAGGGGCCCAAACAAAAACAAGCAAAATGAATTATTGTCTCATTAACCATAGGCAGCCCAATGTTATGGTTCCCTGCCTGCCTGCGCGCGGGCGAGGCATTGTATAGTTGTATTATTTCCTAAGGTAGGCAAATGCAATCAAATTAACGATACATATACTTTCAAACAATCCAAAAGACTTCAAATATCTTTACAGCTACGCTAAAATAATCACGGAAATAAAATCTACGATACTTTTACTATATACTAACAATATTTTAACGTACAAAACAAATTTGTAATGCGAGAAAAATACGAAAAGTTTTTGCATTTTTTTTCTTCTTGAATGAGACGATGCTGGATTCGC